CGTCCCACATACAGCAACTAGAAGGATGTGCAGCTATGACATACAACTATCTACTGGGGCTTTGGGGGGAAAATAAATAAATAAATCTTTAAAAAAAAAAAAAAGTAGTGCATGAATGTTGAATTAAAAGAAGCAAGTTGTAGGATCCCTGAAGTAAAATTTTACTTATATAAAATTTTAAAACATGCAAAACAATACCTTGTTAAGTGATATATACATATGCAGTAAGAATGTGACAATGTATAAGAGAGTCATAAACACCAAATTCAAGATGGTTGGTACTTTGGAGGCGAAGTTGGTGGGGAGATAGAATGAGGGAGGGAGAGATGCCAGGGGTCTCTACCATGTTTGTAATGTTTACTTTTTGTGGCCAGGGGTAGGTGGGTGTTTGTTACATTGTTCTCTGTACCTGCTTGTCTATCTGAAATATTTAATAATTTTAAAAAATGAGAGAAAAAGGAATACATTTAGGTATGTATTTATGATGTTCAAATTCAATAAAAGGTTTTTTTAAGTTCCAACGGTACTGTTCCCCCATGCTTAACTCCCTGCTCCCTAGTTTCCCTCCCAGACATGAACATTTTACTTGTTTCTTTGAACCTTTCCGGAGATGTGTACATAAACAAGAATATATTTATGTATAAATTCCTCCCCCACCTTTAAAAATAACCACCCCACCCCATAATAATCTTCTCTATACAGTTTTACACTTTGCTTTTTTTACTTAATGTATCTTGGAGATTATTCCATATCAGTACATTAAATATGTAGTTTTTATAAGTTTAACCTTTTTTCAGTAATAATTACCTTTGTCTTTACCAGTTATAGTCTAGACTTTATCCACTAGAAAGTATAAATATTTGTTTTGCTATGTCACATTTGCTTACGCAACAGGAAATCTGAGTTTCTCCCTGATTCCTCTTTCCAAATATTCCTCAGGCTTCCCTGAGTGCCTTGATGTGTAACTGGACTGTTCCCGAGGTTCCTCCAGTTTGTGGGTCGTGTTCCCTCTGGGAGGTAGAAAGGGAGGACATTTGGGCTCTGGAGCCCAGTGCCTGGGTTTGGGTCCCCTGCTCTGCCACTTACTAGCAGTGTGACCTTGGCTAAGTTAACTCTCTGTGCTGATTCAGTTTCTTCATCTGTAAGATGCATTGAGTATTCCCTTTGTCGTAAAGTTGTACTGAAAATTAAATGAGTGAAAAGTGCCTGACACACAGGAAGCACTATAAAGTGTTAGCTATTTTTATTAAATTATCAGTCACTCAGCTGTCTGCTGCCCAATCTCCAGACGGCTAGCCCCACTCTCTCATCGCTGAGCTCCTTAGACCTTGTTCTCTCTGGCTAGTGAGGAAACTTCATTCTCTTTTCAGGATCTGCTTTTTTAGGGGAGATTCTCCCAACCCCCCAATGATGCACTTTATATCACAGCTGCCTTCTCCCTAAAGCACCAGGGCGCTCTGCACAGTTGGGGCAGGGAAGGTGGTGAAGCACAGCCTCCCATCTGCCTGGAGCCACAGCACTCTTGAATGTGCCTGCTGCTCACACTAGACTTCTCTGCCAGAATTCTTTTGCATGCTTTTCCTCATGTGTGATGTTCCCCCTGAGACCAGTGGTCCCATCTTGCATTCACTTCCTTCGGTAACTTCCATTTTTATATGTATCTGAATCCAGTTAAGATCAGGGTTTAGGTTCTTTCCCATGGGGCTCCTGGGCCCCATGTAAATCAGGGGATGTGGCTTGACATCTATTTTAAGGGCTCCTGAACTTACTGTGACTGATAAGTTTCCCAAACATTGTATGATAGTTAGGAGGCCAGTGTCCCCTGAGCACACAGAGGATCCGTAAGGAGCAGTGACACTTCTAGCCCAGCCAGGAGACACTGCTATGTTATTAACATTTATAGCTAACATGTGAATAGCAGTTTCCATTACAAGGTGCTTTTCACGTAACTTACCTCATTTAGCTCTGAGGCAGGGATCAGTATCTCATTCCCATTTTTCCAGTGAGGAAACTGAGGTCTAGAAACACTGTGGTCGCATAGATAAAAAAGGACAGGCCTTCCTTTTGCTCCTGTGTCACTCATACCAAGCTACCTTCTTACCAGATGAAAAAAGCCATATTTTATGGTTTCAGCAGAGTTGATATTGATTGTCATAATGAGGAGATTTAATGTTAGCTAGGTTTGGGGTAAAATGAACAGTATTGAAAACTCTTGAATAATTTTATTTAAATTTAGGTCTCCTTGTACTCTGTAGGTTTGTGTAAACTGTAGCCAATTTTGTAAAAAAAATATTGTCCTTTTTCTCAGAGCCACAATGGACACAGCTAGCCATAGCCTTGTCCTCCTGCAGCAGCTGAACATGCAACGAGAGTTTGGTTTTCTGTGTGATTGCACAGTTGCTATTGGAGATGTTTACTTCAAAGCCCACAGAGCAGTGCTTGCTGCTTTTTCTAACTATTTCAAGATGATATTTATTCACCAAACAAGGTAAGGATGTGCTTTTGTAAATAAGTTAAGAATTTTTAATATTGTGATATATCTAAGCCTTACTATAACATCATTTTGGGGATTCTTTGTTATGGGGTCGCCTTAAGAAATAAAAAAATATTTTATAATAATTTTGTTTTTTACACATCAGTAATTAAACTCAGTGTAGGATCCATGTTGGAAGATAAGAATGAAAACAATAATAGCTAAAATTTATTGAAGACTTATTCCATACCCAAGCACTAAGTATTTGCCTAGTGTAAATTCTACTATTTTAAAGAAAAGGAAACTGAAACTGAGTTGTTAAGTAATGTGTCCATCCAGGATTATATAGCTAATAAGTTAGACTCAAATACAAATCTGGGCTCTTAAAGGTATATGCTCTTAATCACAAAGTTGTTGATTTCTATTCCATAACACTTTCATAGCAAGGTTTCAATGTCGTAATTCTATCCACCTCATATTCCATATTACAGTTCCAAGGTCATTTGTTTCAAAAAGGCTTTTGTGTTTTTTGCTGAGGAAGATTTGCCCCAAGCTAACATCCACTGCCAGTCTGCTTTTTGTATGTGAGCTGCTGCCACAGTATGGCCACTAAGACAAGTGGTGTAGGTCTGCACCCAAGAACCGAACCCAGGCCGCTGAAGTGGAGCGAACCAAACTTAACCACTAGGCCACTGGGGCTGGCCCTCAAAAAGTTCTTTTGAATTTAGGTTACCCCAACATGACAGGTATGTAGAGAGAGGGCTGGAAAGTGGTATTCAGATTCTGAGTTCTTGCTAAAGAATAGCTTTAATTCATTCTAGGTTAAAAGTGATAGAACACTCTATGTTTTTTAAAGGACATTATATGAAATATTTAGGAGTTCAGCCACAATTATACATTTTTATTTAATTGTTCATTCATTCAACTATTTATTGAGTACATACGTGTCAGGCACTGCTCTAGACCCCAGTAACAGGTAAGTTATATTCCCTGCCCTCAAGAAATTTATAGTCTAATAGAGAGGTAATGCATGTAAAGAAAATAGTTGCAGTGTAATTGATCTCTCTGTGCCTCAGTTTCCTTCTCTGTAAAACACTAGAATAGTATACCCACCCCAGGGTGTTGAGAAAAATTAAACGATTAATAATATTAAAATACTTAGAACAGAGCTTAGCACTGTTAGCTGCTGTTATTAATACTTAATGTAATAAGTCTATAATAGAAGTGTTGTATAAGGTGAGTGGAGTGTCCGCAGCCCTATTTTGAGAAGATTGGAACAGGTTTCACAGAGGCCCTGGATCTTGAAGGATCAGGAGGAGTTTTCAGATGTTGTAGAGGAATGCAAGAAGGTACATTGTAGGCAGAGGGAAAAAATGCATGAAAACGCAGATATGAACCAGGCTAGCACATTCAGGGAACAGAGTAGATCAGAATGATTGGAATGTATGTCACAAAGGAGAGAGGAGCTTAGAGTGGGGGACAGGTCCTGGCCTTTTCTGCCACGCTAAAGAGTTTCCTCCCTGACCTAAGTGTCAATGTAGAAAGTAGATTAGAGATACTACCTTCACATCGGGCTCGTCCGAGAGCTGTGAGTTGGTTCAGCTCTCAGAGCAGCTGTTGTGTACCAGGCACCATGCTCAAGTAAATCCAAGAAATACTAAGGTGGCAGGCCTGCTACGTGGTATCTCGGTTGAGCAACTGAAAATCCTCAGTTAATGCAGCTCTGTGCTGATATAAAAAAACCCTGCCACAGACCATGGACGTGGGCAGGTCAGAGTGAAACCCACGAGGGAATCCCAAGATATCAGGACTGAAGAAATGGGTTGCCAGCATACTGACACCCAGTGCTTTCTGATGCACTGACACAAACTTCTTTTCTGGGAAGGTAATTTCAGTGACTGATCCCAACGTTCCTTGACATCCAGTGCTTCCCTCAGGTTGTCTTCATCCTGATTTTGCAGGGCGTTTCCTGATGTCTTGTTACACAGTTATTTCCATCTATTAGCTGAATTCGAGATTCCTATGTAAAAATTGGGCTTGGGGTTATTTTAAAGCTTTTCAAAGTTATACCTGTATTCATTTGTGGTTTAAAGAGTAGATACATTAATATAGTTTGGAAACCAAAATAAGGTTAGCATAATTTAAATTCTAAATATTACCAGTTTCAGTAGACTCTTTTTAAAATTTTAAATATTTTTTATTATGGTAAAATATGTATAACGTAAAATTTGTCCTTTTAACTATTTTTAATTGTACAATTCAGTGGCATTAATTACTTTCACAACGTTGTGCAACCATCACCACTATCTATTTCTAAAACTTTTCATCACCCCAAACATAAACTGTACCCATTAACTCCCCCACCAAGCTCCTAGTAACCTCTAATCTACTTTCTGTCTCTATGAATTTTCCTGTTCTATGTATTTCCTATAAGTGGCATCATACAAAATTTATCCTGTTCTGTCTGGCTTATTTCACCTAGCATAATGTTTTCAGGGTTCATCCATGTTATACCATATATCAGAACTTCATTACTTTTTATGGCTGAATAATGTTCCATTGTATGTATATGCCACATTTTGTTTATCCATTCATCTGTTGATGGACACTTGGGTTGTTTCCACCTTTTGGCTAACGTGAATAATGTAATGAACACTGGTGTATAGGTACCTGTTTGAGTCCCTGTTTTCAGTTCTTTTGCTTATAGACTCAATAGACTGTTAAGTTCCTTCAGAGCATGGCAGCTATTTCATTCATCATTTTTCTGCCCCCTGGCACCTAGTATAGTACATATCACTTAGGAGCCACTAAATAAATGTTGAATAATAATAAATAATCAGAATATCTGTCATGTTTCCTAACTTCAGGCAGTAGATTGAATACATGAAGATTTGTTGCTGGGCCATAAAACTGGTATACAGTAAAAGTTTAAGCTTTTGTTGCCGTGTTTCATCAAGTCAGATTGCTAAGTTTGAACTTCTTAAGAACTTGCTTTAGCCTAAGACCGTATACTGTTAACTAAAAGGCCAACTGGATTGTTTCATTTTGTGTGGGTCTGTTTTTTGTTTTTAACAGTGAATGCATAAAAATACAACCAACTGACATCCAACCTGACATATTCAGCTATTTGTTGCACATTATGTACACGGGGAAAGGGCCAAAACAGATTGTGGATCATAGTCGTTTGGAGGAAGGGATTCGATTTCTTCACGCCGACTACCTTTCTCACATTGCAACAGAAATGAATCAAGTGTTCTCGCCAGAGATGGTGCAGTCCTCAAATTTATATGGCATTCAGATCTCAACGACCCAAAAAACAGCTGTCAAACAAGGGCTGGAGGTCAAAGAAGCTCCTTCCAATAACAGTGGAAACAGAGCTGCTGTCCAGGGTGACCACCCCCAGCTGCAGCTCTCTCTTGCCATTGGGCTGGATGATGGCACTGCAGACCAGCAGAGGGCCCATCCTGCTGCCCAGGCCTTGGAGGAGCACCAGAAGCCCCCAGTGTCCATCAAGCAGGAGAGATGTGACCCAGAATCTGTGAGCTCTCAGAGCCATCCCTCACCCTCATCAGAGGTGACAGCCCCCTCTTTCACTGAAAGCAGTATCAAAATACACTTATGCCATTACTGTGGTGAACGTTTTGATTCCCGTAGTAATCTAAGACAACATCTCCACACCCATGTGTCTGGATCCCTCCCATTTGGTGTCCCTGCTTCCATTCTGGAAAGTAATGACCTTGGCGAAGTGCATCCACTTAATGAAAATAGCGAGGCTCTTGAATGCCGTAGGCTCAGCTCCTTCATTGTCAAGGAGAATGAGCAGCAGCCTGACCACTCAAACCGGGGTACCACAGAGCCTTTGCAGATCAGTCAAGTGTCTTTGATCTCCAAAGACACAGAGCCAGTAGAATTAAACTGTAATTTTTCTTTTTCAAGGAAAAGAAAAATCAGCTGTACCATCTGTGGTCATAAATTTCTCCGAAAGAGCCAATTGCTGGAACACATGTATACACACAAAGGTAAATCTTACAGATATAACCGATGCCAAAGATTTGGTAATGCATTAGCCCAGAGATTTCAGCCGTATTGTGACAGCTGGTCTGATGTCCCCCTGAAAAGTTCTCGCTTGTTGGAAGAACAGTTAGACTCATCTTGTGCCTTAGAGTCAGAACTCACACAAGAAAATGTGGACACTATCCTAGTTGAGTAGCAGTTTCTCCTTCAGAATTCTTATATCAGTTCTGAAAAAGAAAATTCACATGCATTTTTTTATTCATAAATTATTTTCCTCCTCAAGTTCTATTGACCTTTTTTCTTTACCATTTATCTCTAGTTTTAAGGTTGTATATATTAGGTCTTCTTATTGTAAGATATATTAATACATGACTACTAAAATGTAACCTTCAGTTAGGGCTGTGGACTTTTCATAAATTAAATGACAATTTAGAAATCAGAAATCAGTGTAGAAATATGGAACTTTAGAGTGCATAGTTATTTATAGAATTTCTGAGTTTTTCCAGGTTGTAGAATCAGTAAAATCAAATTGAATATGAAGTAAGTGAAATCTTTTTTAAAAAATGTACTAGGCTGTCACTTCTGGCTAATGTTTTATATGAATTAAGCCACTATGAGGATTATTTTAAAATATTTTCTGCCATATAGGAAGTTAATACTTATTTTAATGCATAACTATATGTTATAAAGTTTGTTTTAAGGCATAGCTATACCAAATCATGAGTAGTTTTAAAATTACTTTTTACTTACTAGCTCTGCAACATCTCACATGGCTTTTGTTTATTTTTTAACATTGAACATACCTCATTTTCTTTTATGTTTTTTGTGAGGAAGATCAGCCCTGAGCTAACATCTGCCAATCCTCCTCTTTTTGCTGAGGAAGACTGGCCCTGGGCTAACATCCGTGCCCATCTTCCTCCACTTTATATGGGACGCCGCCACAGCATGGCTTGACAAACGGCGCGTCAGTGCATGCCTGGGATCCGAACCCCAGGCCGCCGCAGCAGAGCGCTAGCACTTAACCGCTCCACCACCGGGGCGGCCCTCACATACCTCATTTTCAATAAAAAATATTTTAATTAAAAGAAGGAAAGGGAGAAGAGTCACACACCAAAAAATCTTAAAGAGAGAAACAGTAAGATACATACACATAGATGAGCATGGAAGCCCCCAGTATCAGACAGAGATTCAGGTAGATCTGTGTTGACTAACACCCCAGTGTTGTTACCTGAATCTAGAGTGCTTTCTTAAAGCCTTTAAGAGAAATTTGAGATTTTTCTGACCAAAGGTTTACATGAGCTTAAAGAGGAAAATGATAAAATACAAATTATCTTTCTACCTTCAGTGTGAGACAATTTTCTAGGCTGCCCGAGTTGATGTAATTTTCTAACAATCGCACGAAAAAGTAATTTTTTGGTGGCACAGTTTTCACTTTTTTCTGCTCCATAAAACCAGCAGAGTAGATAAAGTCAGTGTCCTAGAACTATGTTTAAAATCCATGATAGCTTTCCCTCTGTGAATAAACTTAACTCTCTTTTATAATGGTGAAACTTACAAAGCTAAAACTCCAGAAAAATTAAAATTGATGGACTAAATGATAGATTCTCTTGCTCTGTGTAGCTGGGAAATAGCTGGTCAAACTTTACCACAAAGGATAGATCTAAATTTTTCTGAAACGTTTAAATTTCAAATACTAGATAGTTAAGAATAACACGAGAGAAAAGCTTCAAAACAGCCTCATCTTTTTTGTATGCTGCCTGTTAAATTCTAAGCCTTTGGATTTTAATAAATCTCACAAATTTGGTTTCTGAAGTTTAGAATTTAACTGCATAGAAAAACTCTTTGAGCTCCTCGCTGACTACACACTTTTGAGGACATTTGCTGACACCATGAGAGTTTCTCGACAGTATGAGTTCAGTCAGGAGGGAGCTCAAAGGGAAATCCAGCTCATTCTGAGGGCACAAAGGTTTTCTCTGGGTAAACAGCAAGTTTAGGTGAATTATGAAATGATAAGTTTTCCTTAAGGACTGAATGAAGAAAACCAATGGGCATTGTTAAAGGCAGTTGAGTTTCTGCCTTAGACAAGAGAGTAAAGCCTCCTGGGGTCAAGATTGATATGTGTCGAGAGCAGAATCTAAGTAGCTATTGATAAAGGGTCAGTTGTATTGGGAGGAGTTAAAACAAACATGTTGTTCTTGGGGGTCAGAAGTTCATCTAATCAAACTTAAATCATTTAAGCAATTATTCAAACTCATACAGCCCTCAAAAATATCATCTCATAGGATGAACACAAATATTAACATTGATTTCATGTATATTAGGCTATTCAGGATATATTCCCTAGCCTTCTTCAAGTAAAAATTTTTTTCTCATTCAGGTAACAGTTTTTCTGATTTTTTCTCTTCTATATTCTTTCCTCCTTGCTCAGTCGTTAGTCCTTGACACAAGAAGTGTTGTAGCTAAAGGATGGGATTAGGGTTGCATATGAGTTGTGGGGTCAGACAGCAGTTCAGGACAGAGTCTGGAGAAATGTGAGTTTGCTTGTGGCTGATTGGCCATGATGGACAATATTAATTTAAACCAGAAATAGATCTTCATTCATTGGGTGTTAAGAAAATAGTGGTTAACTGCATTTTTATTCTTATTCATATAGTTCCTTTTAATATTAGAAATTCAAAGCAAATGTTCTTTCCTTTGTCTTCATAATATTCTCTGTGTTTTAGGAAGTGGAAAAATGTTAACTCCATTTTGTAGGGAAAAAACCCCAAAAACTGGGTTGCAGAGAGCCAGTGAATAGTGGTATGGGAACTGGCCCCAGTTTTATTTTTTTTCATTCACTCAACAGGCATATTTTTTAAATAACTGTTAAATGACTAACACTGTGCCCTGAGTGTTTATTTGTTTTTTTAGGGAGGTGGGGGGGAAGTAAGATTGTCCCTGAGCTAACATCTGCTGCCAATCCTCTTCTTTTTGCTTGAGGAAGATTGTCCCTGAGCTAATGTCGGTGCCAGTCTTCCTCCACTTTTTTATATGTGGGATGCCGCCACAGCATGGCTTGATGAGCCATGTGTAGGTCCGCGCCTGGGATCCAAACCCACAAACCTCGGGCCACTGAAGCAGAGTACGTGAACTTAACCACTATGCCACCAGGCGGTACCCCCGAAGTGTATTTTTTAAGACATGATTCCTCACTGAAAAAATCTACTTTGTATAAAGAAAGTTCTTCCAGCTAAACTCTTTAGTTTTGACTTCATCATTTGCAAAATAGAGGTATAATCTTAGCCATATAGTATGGTTTGTATAACGATTACCAAGCTCTTACAACGGCAAACGCTATATGCACCTTCATCAATGTATCAGGCAAATACTAACCCAACATTCTCCCCTTGGATCAGCTTAGAATTTTCCCCTCTTTCCAGATCCTATATAGTTGTTTTCTGGAGAAAAACAGACTGTTTCACTATTTGTTCTTATTAGCATATTGTTGGAACTCAGTATCTGATAAGTGTAGTCTGCCTTATAAGAAAACCAAAATTTCTTGATCTATGTCTCTTGAGATTATTATTTCTTGCATTGATTTTCTGATTTCCCATCTGTGAAGTGGATATAAGCAATCCCTACCTCACAGGGGTGTTGTGAGGATTTGTATTAAAATTGTGTTAAGTTCTCTCGGTATTATTGATAAAAACCAACCATATAAAGAAAATTTCATTTATTCTGTAGCTAAACCTATTAACTTTACTATTCCAACCCATAAATTCTAGTATGTCTTAGGAGCAGTCATATACTATTTAATGTTCAATAATTAATTGACAAAATTCTTATTTTTATTTTTTACAAATACTCTAGAAACAGCAGTGTTGCTAGAATTCCTGTTCTACCATAGTTTAATCATCAGTATTTCTCTTAGCCTTTAGCAAGGAGGATGTTAGTTCTTTGGCATTCTTGGGAATGAAACTTTGCCACTTTCAGCTTACTGCAAGTTCCCCCCAAACATATTATTTACACATAGGAAAAGGAACAAAAGCAATGGCGAAAATGTCATTTTTATTTCTTTGATGTAGGTCATCTGAAAAGTAGATGGGGACAGGAAATGGAGTGGGGATAATATAGTAATGCGTTATGTTCTATTAAAATATTATTGGAAAAGGCTTTAGTTAAAACTGAAGGAAATATATATTAATCATGGAAAAAGATAGTCTGGAAAATGTATGCTTCTATTAATGTTTATTTGCACAGGGGAATTCTTGATGTAACTCAGATCCTTGAGAAGTATCCTTTATTTGTAGTAATTGAGGTAAAAATAGGTCATGTGATGAGTTTTCATAATGTAAATTGTGTCTTTGTATGTTTTAAACTAAATATAGCTCTATGGTATTTTATTATAATTAATTTTTAAATTCCTAAGAGTGATATCTGTAAATGATTATGCTCTGCTGTACTTCTGCGTTTGTATGGTTGGACTTTTTGAAAACTGGTGAGATCACCCAATCCCCAGCCTGGATGTCTTAAATACCAGGAATCACAAACTGTGACTTTGTCTTCACAACTTGGAAGAATCCATTGTGCTTCAGTGTGTATCTGTGCCACACTCAATGACTTGGTAGATATTGCTTCCATGCAATTGACGTTAACTGTCATCAACTCTTCTGTTTTATGCCAAATAGTCATTTAGTCAGATTAGATCAAATATCAACTTAAAAATACTTGAAAAGAAAATTGGATTTTAAAAACTTGTACAATAAAAAGGCCCAATTAAGAAATTTTCAAAGTACAAGTTACACATAGGAAAGATAGGAGACTGAAATCAATAGTATACTCTTTTATTGACTGAAATCAATAATAAACTCTTCCACCTAATGTACTGTGAGTTCACTTCAGAAATATTCTTTTAGAAAGTTCTGTATCCTCTATTTGGAATGAAAACAATGGGTTTCGTGTATTTTCTCATGACAAATAAATTAATGTGACTTGGTCACAAACAAAACCTTTTATTAGCTCAGCTTATAGAATGTGTTCTTGTTTTACAGCAGTGTCTGCCAAATGTTGTCTTCCTAGTGTTGAGGTAAGTGGTCTCTGCCAGGTAACGTTTTGGAGGTGTGATGCAAAAATGCCTCAGTGAGCCCAATTCTTATCAACCCTAATCTGTGTTAGCAGAAAATTGGTGTCCTAAGCAAGTGCTTTCCAGCTACTATCTCTGGAAAGAAAGGTAATATCTAGTCATTCCCTATTGATTTCTTGCTTTGCTCCTTTCTTTCTTCCCTATTTACTGTCTACTCTAT